TATGTTGAAATTTTATAAATATTAATTTAAAGAAAAAGATAGTATATAAGTTATCTTCTTGATCTGATGAAGATACTACACTATTGGGGCGTAGCACGGCATAAATAATGAAAAAAGGTGTGAAATACAGTACTGCGGAACAATACGATCTGTAGAGATAGTCAATCTCAGTAAATCAGGTGCAATAGCGGTGAAGACAAATTGGGAAAGATCCAGCTGGAACGAGACCAAAGCTTACGTACATTCGTCTATCTTTCTAAAAAAGATAAACACCAACACAATTATAAAAATTATTGGTAAATAATATGAGTAAATACAACGACGTGAGACATAATAATTAGCTATAGTAGTTCGATTCCTGAAATTAAGATGTTGAAACATTTTAAATTACTTTTAAAACTACAGACATGCTACAGTTAATTGTTGTTCAACCATATTTTATTCCCTTTAATAACACCAACCATTCAAAAGTTTGAAAATGTCATCGGGTTTTATTTCTGTTAACACCATTGGCAATTTTTACGCCTGTTGTAAGGAAATAGTTTAGAACGTGGTTTTGTTGTTATCAAAATTTAACCTTTTGTAGCATCGTTTATTCGTTTTACAATAAAATTCAATAGTAATAAGTATCTAGATCCAGAGTTGACCTCATGTTGAACTAAACCAGCAACCGTTATATTTGTAGATGAGCACTATAACCACTAGGTTAGTAGTATAAATGCCATTTAAACATGTATTTTACACCTAACATGATCACTATCCACAACGACCTAGTAGTTTTTCATTAAAAACCAAAGTGCCAAAGTTATTAAATATTTATTTACCATTTCTTTTAATAAAAAAATTGATTATAATGCTTAAAATATTCCAATTTTTGTAAACAAATCGTTGACATACTCATTATATAGCGAGCTAACTCAAGTAAAATTATTTATGGAACTATGAAATAAAATTCAAATGTATTGTAATAAATTTCCTATAAAGGGTGAAAAAGTCTCAGGACGGTTAAATATTTAAAAAGGCATTAAATATAGAGCTTCGATACTTGGTACACAATTACTGGGCATCAAAATAAATTTAACACATTACTCAGTGATACACTCCCTCCCCAGGGGGACGGCCCACTGGGAGTCAGAAGAAAAACTTGCCCCCCTGAAGAGATAGTGAAAAGCACTGAATAATCTGTTTGACTCTAATGCCCGGTAACTGTGCACTAAGTTCTGACGCTCATTGTTTAATGCCTTTTTAAATATTTAACAGTCCCGAAAAATATTTGTCTACCCTATTTCCAGTTCCTACTCAATGTATTTGGCTATGAATATATAAAATAATAATCATTATTTAAATGCATTGTCAGTACACAATTCCACAGCTCAGATTGATGAAACGTCTTAAATTAACAACTATGTCTAGGTATAAGAATCCCCCAGAAAAACACTTGTACATACAATGATTTTGCTGATTTTGAATCTAGGCTTATATAACTTTGTGAAAAGAAAGGAAATCTCAGGTTAAAATCCTTCACGGAGTGTGAGACGAAACTTTACTAATAGTCTGCCAGTCGGAGGCTAACCGAGTTCCCTCCATCTTGCTCTAGACAAATTGCACGTTACCTGTTTCAATTTATATTACATACTTTAACTCATTTTAAACTACATTTACAGCACGGACTGAATTGTAATCTTGCAACGACGTTAGTAATTGACCGAATAATGCGGAAAATAAGGGAGTGAATGATTTATAAAGTTTAAGATTGTAAATTCCTACAGATTCTTAAATCTGAGCTTTTCATACTGGATATATATTTCTCTATAACATATGTGTTAACACCAGTGTAATTTGAAATTTATCTTAAACAATATGCAGTGAATGATCCTTTGAAAATCAAAACTACAACACCAGACCGGATTGACTAAAGTATAACTGTGGAGTTGATATGTGCATATCCATACGTCGTGTAAGATATTGTATCAAACCTAATTATACATTAAAATAATTTAGTCCACTTTAAAAAAAATTGTATTTATGATTTTCTTTGTATGAACAGGTTTGATGTTAATTGCATTACGGCCGAACCAAATTTATTTTTAGAACGTTGTGTTATTGTACTGCTAAAATGGTTTTAACTTATATACGCATAGTTCTTTACTTCTTCAGCATTCAACTTGAGCCATACTACACAGTTGTGAACAATAAAAATTAATATTCCTTTTATTTTATGGTAAAATCATTGTTTAATTAGATAATTTGTAAAAAATCTTTATTTGTGGGTTTTAACATGCAATACCAGCAACTAATATTGTTTTTAAATACAAATACCATGAGAATTCACAATTGTTCTAGGAGAATATAAATGTTTAAAATACTATTTCCGTCACTAAAATCGCAAACTTTAGCTCGAATAAACTGAATCCAAAGTTGTAATGAATAACGTCTTAAGAGGTGAAAAAATCGCTAAAGAATAGCATCTCCTGACTTATCAAGGATAAATACAATGAGATTAAATTTAATACGACTGTTTATCTTCAACGTGTATATATCTCAGGCTATCAAAATAAAGAAGCGTTGTATAAAATGAGACTGTTTTGAAGATTGAAACGCTTTGATAGAACCCCGAGGAGATTCCTTTGACGTAGGACTTGGCAATTTCCTTACAAAGAGTTTTAGAATTGCTCTTTAGTAAAGTACAGGAATGGAATGCAATACTCATTTACGCTGATCGTTGGACTGCTGTGGAATACCAGACAAAGTACACATATAGAAGCGTTCTATAATACTCAATTATTGTTTGTGGAATACATTGAGCCCCAGTATAACGGTTTAATTCGATTTTATGCTAAATATAACCGTGCAAATAATCTTTTATACATGGGTTTATAGCCTTCTATTCCATTTTCACATTTTAAATAATTGTTTCTAATATATATATATATTTCATTTTAATTTAATGAGAACTACTCTTGCTGTGAGATGCCATTATTTCTTCGTTTAAACAACTACCTTTTACCGTGCGGCTAAAAGTCTTTAGTGTCAATTTTAAGTAGTCACTTGAAAAACGAAAAACTATAAAACAATGTATCATAACTAGTGCTAAACTGAAAATAAAGAATTTTTTTTTATTTGACAGAAATGTATATTTGCATGACATTAATTTGAAAATTTATGGAAACTCCATTGTAAATATGCAAAGTTCTACAAAGTTGAGAATAAAAAAAAAGTTCTTAACAATATTGATGACACAACAATCAGACTTCATTCATTAAACAAGATAATGAACATTCAAGTGTATTTGCTAGTTTTTTACAAATTGTTAAACTATTTTCAATATACGACCAAGAATTTTGTATTCATCAAAACACCCGACACAATAACATGTTGTTGATATACTGCTTAACTAGAGCTGTCTACAATCAGAGTAATTTTTATTTTGACAATGTATAGTCTAGTATTTTATGATACCTTTTAATTGATTTGTGATATTTTATTCCTCTAACGATACAAAATAATCTATACAAGAAAGGTTATATTAAATCTTTGTTTGAACTCTAGTCGTTGGTGTGAGTAAAAATCACATGTGCTAAGCTGGTCGTTGCAGTTAAACATATATGTAAAATCAGATTTCAGCTACGTAATATATATGAGTTATTGAGAACGTTTTAACATACACGGTTACGGCTAACCTTTAAATCGATCAAAATAATCTACTAATAAGATAATTAAAGCACAGGCGTCGCGTCGTTCGAGTAGAACGTTATTATGCTGAAAACTGCCTACCTTAAAATAAATCACCTTTTATAATCAAAATGTATTACAAGCATGCGGTTATTTTATGAAAAAATTCTCTAAATTAATGAATTATTTTAGTTTCAACAGTTTTCGTTCAATTCGTTTGGTAATCTAATCTAATCTAATTAAGTAATTTAAAATTACTTAATTATAAGGGAATGTAAAGAAATAGTTGAACTCAATCCCAAAAGTACTAACAAGTTTCTGGAATACTGCCAAACTTGGAGGATGTTGTCCAATAATAATGAGTTCCAGATCAATAGGAAGATTTATGAACTTGCCAAAAATCTCGCCCACTAAGCTGTTGGGCTATTTACTTCCACCTGGATATCAATTTAACCATGACGTTACTTTTGAAAATCGTTGATTACACATTTCCAAGTGTGTAAATGAATTATGTTTTTCTCGTGTAAGGTTCATAGAGAAAAAAATCATGTTGAATGGTGTTTGTTTTATAACAACACGGATAACTATCCTATTAGGAGGTCATATAAGAGGTATTAACCCTGCTAGTATCTGTAATTAAATGTAATTAGTATGAACAAGCGAAACTTAAGGTCATTGTAATAGTCATCCACTTTGATATTTTGAAAACATTGGAATTGGCTTTACGAAAGTAATGCGAAATGTAATTTATTTCCAACATGTTCAATCTCTGGTAATGCAATGCTTGATAAACTCAAAGGTCAAATTACATAAATAATTTAGTTTTTTGTCCACGAAGTTTTTTAGAACGCAAAATTAACTTAATTATGTGGTCAGACAGTCAGCAGATATTTGTGATAATTGTTGCAGTAATTGTGATAAAAAGCCAGGATTATAATTGTAGGAGTGGCTTAAAACCACTGTAATAGCTACATACATCTACAATAATAACCCTATATAGATACCACGAATCAACATTCAGATTCTAAACATTCAGACAAGAAAGGGCTTTCCTACATTTGATTATACAACTAAAATATCAGTTACCATCCCGCAGCCACCATATAGCTAAACCGTACTGCAAAACCCGCAGTTACCATATATGCATCAAAACTTATTTTTGTAAAAATTCGATTTGTTCTAGATAAGTTACAGTACTTAACTTAGGTACCACAGAGTTTAGAAGTATCTGAGGAACTATCTAGAGTAAATGTGATCTCAAAACATGGAAAAAAATTAGATATAAAAAACTATAATACTTTATTGAAATTAAATTATCATGAAGCACTATATCATACAGTATATAAACGTTTCATAAATGTCAATCAAACAAAGTACAACATTTTAAACAATATTTCTTGGGTAAGTGAGCTCAGTTACATTATAAACGAAAGACACAACAATATTTAATAAATCGGATCGGAGAGGAACCGTCATCTGGAATTTAAAATTGTGGAAAACAGAAAGAAGAGGATCGCAACGAGTGGAAACTTGGCGGGAAACAAACAGCTGGTGCCGCCATGTTGCATAGCTGCTGGCGTCTCACCTGCAAGCAAATGAAATTTTTTATTACGTCATACCAACGTTTCAATTATTAAAAATGTGATAATTTGTGTATTTTTATGGTTTGAGAAAGTGATTGCTTTTGGGACCCCCGTGCTACGACCATTATAATGTTTTATGACAGTTTGATCATCCTTAGTATTTATGCAGATTACTTTATGATCAGATCAGATTGGATGCCATATAGAATTACATGAAACTAGAATAAATAGTTTCGTTTTGATAAGAAATTAGATTGTTACTTAAAAATTATGATTTATATAATAATAATAATAATAATAAAATGCCTTTATTTAAAGCGGTCTTCAGATACACTGGTTTTCAAGACAACTCAAAGTCACAAAAGGTTTACAAGTACACAATAATTACAAACAGTGGAACTAAACTAACTTTAGATTGGCCTTAAATGAATTACATGACATGATTTTCATGTTTCTTGGGAGGGTGTTGTATGCCTGGGGTCCAAAGTATGAGAACCCCTTTTTACCTATCTCACGCCGCACTCTCGGCATTTCAAGCAAGCCGTCCTGCCTAGTACAGCGTTCCCTAACTGATGTTCGAGGCATAAGTTTCCTTTTCAAATAGGGAGGCAAATTAGAAGACAGCGTCTTGTGAACAATTAAAACAGTTTGTAGAAAACATTGTTTTTCCAAAGAGAGTACCTTAGCCTGTTTGCGATAGGCAGATATATGATCAAACTTCCTCAGATTGAAGACAAACCTCAGGGCTCGGTTTTGCAACCTCGTAAGAAGAACTCTACAGTCAAGAGTAAGACATTCACCAAACGATGGAAGTGCATAGTGAATAATAGGGAAGACTGTTGATTTGACCAATTCTAGCTTAGCATTTTCAGATAGTATCCCTCTCAAACGGTGTAAAATTCTCAACCTATTTTATAATATAAGCCGATGGTTTTATATTATCTGACATAGGATCTAAATATTTTTTAACGTTAAGCTGTCAAGCTTTAGTGCAAACATTAGCTTAAGTTCAAAGGGTAAAAATTATAAATATCAATGCCCCCAGGAGTTTGTATTTTAAAGTAAAAATCTTTATTTATTTTAGATTATTAACAGTTTTAATTAAACTTTCCAAACACTTTAACTTACAGCATATTGACAGAAACGTGCATATGTTAAACAGACCTAATCATTTTGAGCACATACAGTCATATAAACGATAAAATTGCAAGAATTCACAACCTAACCTAAAACGCGTTGTTTAGTGTTTGAAAGACTAATTATTTCTATGCTATATATAATGACTGTATGGAAATATAATGTGTTACACGATTGCAAACTGCCTTTACTGCACTCGAGAAACTTTCCACACTCGCCTGCGGCTCGTGCGTAAACATTTCTCTCATGGGCAGCAAAGTGCCACATAGTACACTAGTTACACAAACAACTATAAAAAAATTTCGGTAATATGCTTTGATAATTATAAAAAAATAGTGTTTACATAATTTTATAATATTTAAGCTCAAATTTAGGTCTATGTGTTATGGCAAATACGAGGACATGGATTTGACACTTTTTAGTATCTGAACACAGAATACATTAAACACGTTTTTGGTTCATCAAATGAATAATATGTCACTGTAGTCTCGACTAACTGTTTTCTAGGTGTTTAAGCTTAAATGTAATATGTTTGTTTTATTTACTGCCTACGGCTAAATTATCTCTTCATGAGTGGTTGTAATATGTACCATTGAGCACGTGGACTGAAACTGTAGTTTCTGCTACGTCCGCTAGGTGGCAAGTGTAGTTGCCGGAGTCTTGTGGTCCGACGTTAGCTATGTACAGACGACTATTGACTCCATCACTCACTATGTCCGTCTTAACACTGCAAAAATAATTTAAATACATATTATATAATTACACCTACTGAAACGATATTCAATACATAAATATATAATATTAGAGTATAGGATATATGAGTATACCTCCTGCCACTAGAACTTTATTAATTTGAGTAATTTGAAATTATTAGGCCTATAGTAAAATAAATTGTTCAGTTAATACAATAACATTGTTTTGAGTTAAATAATACAAATAGTGTATTAAGCGTCTTACAGTGCAATAAAACTCAGACCTTAGTTAATTTATTCACTGGATTAGTTAAAGGGTTCTCACTCATGTGAGTAAACAATCGTTTGATAACATTTGTAATTAGAATCAGAAAATAAGTAGTCAATCGAACGCGTTTAGTTTATAGTAAAATTGTTATAATATTATACGTTTAAAAATGGTACATTTCCTCAACTCTATTATATTTCGCAGTGAAAATGAAAAAAATCTAACAATAACCACGGTTTGTTAATGGGTATAATACTTTTCACTGAAATAACATATGGATAAAAGCGGGTACAATAGCTAATCCTCGTTTCAAATAAATGTTTGATTGACTAGGTACTTTATGCCGGGTTAAAGCTGCTAGTCAAGTTGCATGTAGTTTTATTCCATCATGGAAATCAATATACAGTAATCTAAAACTGACCTGATTCCCCCCCTAGTGACATCATAGTTGAGGATGTTGTTGCCGTGTTTCCATAAAATGAAGTGTGAAGGTTTTGGCACCTTCGATATCGAGCACTTAAGCTCTATGGTACTGCCAGCGTTGTAGAACTTGTTCTTCAATGGGATCCCTCTCTCGTCCCATATCTGAAGCTCTGGAACTGTCAAAGACCATTTTAATGAGGGAAATATTTACAATGATACATAAATTGGATTATGCAAAAACATTTATTCGCTTTGACTTTTCCGTTTCTCACAATATTATAGTTATTGAACTCTTTGTACCGTACAGTTTGAACCTATTAGTACTTCTTTATGTAGGGATTAACTTGCAACTACCATGTTATGTTTTTTATCACAATGAGTGGCTTACCTATGACACGTAGGTACAGCGTGTGTACCAGCGGTGGATGTGAGGAGACCTGACACTCGTACCAACCCTCATCTGACTCCTCGGCACCTCTGACTGAGAGTGTCAGGACGGTGATCACAATTGTTTGCAACTATTATGCTATGTTTCGTATCACAATGAGTGGCTTACCTATGACACGTAGGTACAGCGTGTGTACCAGTGGTGGATGTGAGGAGACCTGACACTCGTACCAACCCTCATCTGACTCCTCGGCACCTCTGACTGAGAGTGTCAGGACGGTGATCACAATTGTTTGCAACTATTATGCTATGTTTCGTATCACAATGAGTGGCTTACCTATGACACGTAGGTACAGCGTGTGTACCAGTGGTGGATGTGAGGAGACCTGACACTCGTACCAACCCTCATCTGACTCCTCGGCACCCCTGACTGAGAGTGTCAGGACGGTGATCACAATTGTTTGCAACTATTATGCTATGTTTCGTATCACAATGAGTGGCTTACCTATGACACGTAGGTACAGCGTGTGTACCAGTGGTGGATGTGAGGAGACCTGACACTCGTACCAACCCTCATCTGACTCCTCGGCACCTCTGACTGAGAGTGTCAGGACGGTGATCACAATTGTTTGCAACTATTATGCTATGTTTCGTATCACAATGAGTGGCTTACCTATGACACGTAGGTACAGCGTGTGTACCAGTGGTGGATGTGAGGAGACCTGACACTCGTACCAACCCTCATCTGACTCCTCGGCACCCCTGACTGAGAGTGTCAGGACGGTGATCACAATTGTTTGCAACTATTATGCTATGTTTCGTATCACAATGAGTGTCTTACCTATGACACGTAGGTACAGCGTGTGTACCAGTGGTGGATGTGAGGAGACCTGACACTCGTACCAACCCTCATCTGACTCCTCGGCACCCCTGACTGAGAGTGTCAGGACGGTGATCACAATTGTTTGCAACTATTATGCTATGTTTCGTATCACAATGAGTGTCTTACCTATGACACGTAGGTACAGCGTGTGTACCAGCGGTGGATGTGAGGAGACCTGACACTCGTACCAACCCTCATCTGACTCCTCGGCACCCCTGACTGAGAGTGTCAGGACGGTGATCACAATTGTTTGCAACTATTATGCTATGTTTCGTATCACAATGAGTGTCTTACCTATGACACGTAGGTACAGCGTGTGTACCAGTGGTGGATGTGAGGAGACCTGACACTCGTACCAACCCTCATCTGACTCCTCGGCACCCCTGACTGAGAGTGTCAGGACGGTGATCACAATTGTTTGCAACTATTATGCTATGTTTCGTATCACAATGAGTGTCTTACCTATGACACGTAGGTACAGCGTGTGTACCAGCGGTGGATGTGAGGAGACCTGACACTCGTACCAACCCTCGTCTGACTCCTCGGCACCCCTGACTGAGAGTGTCCAGTCGTTGGGGTGAAGCAGGGCCGCTGTGTACCGGGTATTACCGGCGTATATGTCCAAGCCAACGGACAACAAGTGAAGCTGACCCTCCTCGCGGCGCAGCCACGACACCTGCCGAGCATCAAGGGTATTGTATTTACAAATATGAAACATATTGTTAATACTGTTCAATTAAACAAGTATTCACCCAACTTCTACACTTCTACCCTAGCCGCCAACCGTTTATTTCAGTATGTATATACACAGATAAGTAATTTACAGAGGTAACACGCACGTTTATGGGACGACCGTGCGCTTTCAGCTGTGGTATGTTGTGCTGAAAATTTACTTGTGATGGTGACCATACAAATTAGCTATTTTAAGCTAAGAACGAATGGAGATGAGTGGCGCGATTTTGTAGTCTTGTTGGTGACTGGCCGACATTTCTTAGACACAGCTGTCAATTAATAGCCCATACAGCATGATAATGGCAACTGAGGGACCTACAGTTTATAGTGGAATCCGAACCACATTGATCCCTTGGTATATACGAATTGGTCTAATTATCAGGATAGTACTGCGGATGGTCGTAGTACTAACTCGTGCGGACGTTAATCTACACCAGGGAGTATCGCATCCACAGTGCATGCCTATAAATATCCACGATTCGTGACCTCCTAGTAGCTGGATTACAGGATACGCCACCCATCCCAGTCTGTTTATACTGTTTATAACTGAACATTCCCAAAACATTAACCAAAATCATACTGGATCTATAATATTTCTTATGATCTTAGAACTAGATGGGGTTTTCTTGGTTGCATTTCTTTGACAACTTAAAAAAACTATATATTTAGACTTTCGGGGGTAAGTACCAAATCTTATATGCTAAAAAACTTTTGAAAACTTATGACAGCTAGCCTGACCATACTACTGGACCTAATTGCACGCGGTTGGTACCAATTGAAAGACATTTTCCTGTAAATGTGCAGAATCCTTTTATGAATTGAAATAGGCTCAAAAATAAGCGCAAAAATGAATTTAAAATGTTAAAACATAAAATAAGTGGCCTTTTGGGTTGCCATGTTGTTGATGAAATAGCAACAAAATATAAACAGAAAATCAAAACAAATTGAAGAAATTCCAATCACTTGTTTTATTTATAGTGTGGGGTGAAAATAGATAAGTTTGCACAATACATACTTTTAGTAAAGTTTTCGAGCACGGGGTTAGCTCTAGTCAAAATCTATTATACTTATTCTTGACAGAATTATAGGATGCAAGGGAACCCGTTCGTCAATTGTGTATTTTATTACGGTTCGTCTCCGAGCCATAACGAATAATTCAATACTTGTTAACTTTTGAAAGATAACTTATAGCAAATAAATAATAACACTTGAAAATATCATGATGTTTGAGAATTATTATAATCTGTATGTTATCGGAAATTAGGCCTTAAATATATAAAAAAAACACAACAAATTTGCAATATTATTAATAGGTCTATTTTGTAGATCTATACCATAATAGTATAATTTACGTACCTTAATTATGTATCAACCATAAGCAGGATATTTAACAATAATTTTCATGAACATTCTCGACTCTTGTTTATATTCTAGCGGTTTTAATTCTCTATCAAACGACACCAAATAGACCAAAATATTCAAAATTTTCTAATAGACCAAAATATAACACATAGTCGAATTATCACGGTGTCTAGTTGTAAAATGTGATGTTTCAACTACTTTAAATCCATACCTCTTGAACTTTGTGGAACTTTGGTGGAGGAATTAAAATTCTAAACAAACGTTTACTTAACATTTCTTTTATAAATTGGTAATTTTTTTAACGCTATATATGACTTGAAATAGCCACCAATCTGCGATTTCCATTGAACCCTCAGATTTTATGTTAGGTCTTTTCAAAATTGAAATAAATACCATCTTGGAAATAAAAATTGGTCTGAAAACGATTGTTTAGTTAAGGGACGTTCTCCATAATTATTGACCTTGTATAAAACGTTTAATTTCATACAAGGATAAACATCTCCTTGCCAAACTTCTTTATTTTCATCATCATTAAATACGAGTTATATTTTATAGGTGTATTATTGATTGTTGAATTTTATCTAACACAATAAGTTCTCGTTTTACCGTCCGTGTAAGTACGTACTTAGCATAGTAACCGACAAGTTGTTATGGGAAGAAAAGCATAAGCGATATGTAAGATGCGGCAAGAACGAGTTTGGAAAATTTCCAAGTCGTTGGTTCTAACATCTTTCTGTCTGACCCGCTTAAGGCAGAGGAATAATCTTTACGCGAGTGTGAATTTGCTGCCAACATCTTACATATCATGTATTAATTTAGCGTTTCCTTAAATAATATTCGCATTCGTATGGTTCCTAAAATCATAGAACAGATTTTATTAGTAACAGTAAGTAAAAGCTTACCGAATTATAGATCAAACATAATTCTATATTAGGTATGACAGTTAGACTTAAAAGCATGAGGTTTATGTTTAGATTTATTAATAAATGAATTCAAAAAAGTTTGATTCGTGTTATTGACAAAAACATGCATGCTTGCAAGAATTGCAAGCAAACATTTCTTTAAAGTGCAAAATACACTTTTCGTAATGCTGGTTTGATTAGCTTAGTATGATATCGACACATCAGAGTAGGGTTTTTAAAGGGAAGGTGCGTAAACGTGTGTTGAATCGATAATATAGCTTCAGTAGCCAAGGCCATCTATTAAAATCCCAATGACAGCTGGATCCAGTTTTAAGCTATGTACATTCTTTTGACTTTTCACAGAATCAAAATGGGATGTATTAGTGTCATGTAATTATTACTTTATTATTTATGTTATTTAAAATTATAAAAGATATTGTAAAAATGCTAATTATTAGTAAGGAAGGAAGAAAAACTAATTTTATTTCATACAATGCCAAGTTGGTATATGCAAGAAAATTTCATTTTTTAAGTCGCCAGTTCTGTTCCTGTAAATGCAGGCAGTCTTAAATCAGCCAAAAAATACAGAGCAATCCCCTTTTTACTTTTACTAAAACCATGCTGATGTCAGCAAGTATCACTTTACAGTGCAAACTTATTCTAAAGTGCAGTCGAGTCTAGCAAGATATATTTAATACAATTGCCACTATGAAATACAGTTAGAAGAGGAAACTGGAAAACATTCAAAAAGGGAGCCCTGGTAAATCAATTTTTAAAGGAACTATCATGAAGAGGAGTAGGCCTAGTGAAGGCAAATACACAAACGTACAGAAGGTAACAAACATCAATATTAATACCGTTCACTTATAAACTCGTTATTACATATGATTATTACATCAAATACATAACAACTAGTATGGTTTTGTGTACACAAATTGTCTATGGGATCAAACAAACATCATGTTAAACGTTCCTGTAAGTTTGAGTGGATATTTAACTAAAACTGTCCATTCACTAACGTTGCTTTTTAAATATTTTAAGGTCAGCCGTTTCATGCTAGTGGACATATAGACGCCATCGTATATATTTTTGTCACTTAATTGCTTATAAGGTTATGATGTTATTAGTGGGCTGAGTAGGCGTACCTTAGACTTAACACTACATTTCACTATAAATAATTTGGGTCTGGTTTCTTTCATTTCACAGAGTACAACATTTCCATAAATTCCCTAGCATAAACGTGTTTTTTCTTCGAGTATTAAATGTCAGTTTAGCAATAAGTATCAAGATAATTTGCTACTCATTACCACTTAAGTTACTTGCTTACTCTTTTAACAGTATTGGAGTGAACTAAGTTAACTAACCGTAGTTTTGTCCGTGAGCTCGTGCACTCGACAATGTAGAAGAGCGTTGGCACCAAACTGTACTGTGACGTTTACGAATGTGCCAGAGTCTTCGAAGAAAGGCATGAGAGGTGTCGTGGTGACGTCATCAGCGGAAGGTGTGGAATGTACGTCATCTTGCAAACCGGAAGTTGTCTGGTGCCAAACCACATGCAGCTGGTTGACTGTAACCTCCTCTATGTCTTTATCTATATAAGATACAAACACTTATGTTACTTATCCGTGAAAAGATCCGTCTTAAACATTGTACGTGAATACAGCCTTTGAGAATTTTTTTCGTTTGTTAATATATATAAAAAAACGTTTAATTGATTATTATAAAATCTTTGTTTTGCAAAAGCATTGAAGGGAATAGAAACTGTAAACGCTTCAATAGTCAAAGAAACTGATATTGATAAAGTGAGTTTAAAAATAAACTAAGTGAAAGAGTGTTTAAAGAATGTATGGTAAATATTGCTTTGCTATTATTTGCTGTAGCATCCTAGTCTATTTATATTTCATTTATCTCAATATTTTCTTTAAATTGCGAAACTTTGAAATGAAGGTTATACTACCTATTGATTGTTTTATTTTTTTAATATATATGCATTTACCTCACTTACTGAAGTAGAAACTTTATGCATATACTAGAATTAAGTAAAGTTTTAATTTAAGGAATATAACACAAAACGTAACATCTATTTAATTTGTTGGTATTTGATACAACAGTTGTTTATATAAAGATAAAAGAGGTTATGCGAATAATTTACATTTATAATATGATATTGTAAAGCTACATTAGAAAGATATTCTGTTGATAAATCAACTTGTGTACGTTATTAGTTTAACCGTATAATAGCCTACAACCTAAAATGGCAGTTGTATATCAACTTCTCAGATCTGTTATTATAGTCAAAGATACCAATCACGTTCCACCAGTTAATAATTGTATGTAATTGAAAATCAAATTAGTGGCCTAGGGACTTGTGTCAATTTCCCATGCATTATCTTCAACCAACATTGAATGAAGAATCGTTTCTCTTATCAGTGCACAGCCAAATACAGCTCTTCAATTCAGCAATATTCATAAATAAAAGGCATTACCGTACTGACTGTTATAACTACCGGATTACGATGTCCGTGTTCTTATAGTGCAAACTAGTCTATGTCACGGTATACAAACTGAGATACCGAAAATAGTTTTATCATCGCTGATGAAACTAAGGAACTAGTTCCTGAATTCCTACAAGGGAGGTTTACGCTGCACTACGTTTGCCCTTATAGAACAATGTTTGGCTTAGGATGACTACTATATTGGGGGTATTTGTAGATAATTCATCTTACATCTATTTTTATTAATCCCTTCTGAACTATTCCTTACTTCTACTATAATCATAAATAATCCAAAGAATAAGATATCAAGGTCGTTTATTACTAATATGTATTATCAAATGTAATCCTTCAATAACCCAGTTCCCATGGACCTAATCGGGAGGAATTGCTCCTTATAGGGTTCTCATTCTTCTCCTTAGTTGTTGCCAATTCCTGTTCTTCATGACTCCCCCTTCTAAAGGTAAATTATCTTTCTTCAGACATTGTTTTCCTTATAGCTTATTATCTATGCTTTAGGAGTCATTGTCCTTCTATAGGAATTAGGTGGAGTTCATTTTCTTCAGAGGTGATTGTCCTTCTTTAGATAGTGTTTCTCGTTCTTTAGATTAGTGGTTCTCGTTCTTTGTTTGGGGTAGTGGTTCTCGTTCTTTGGGGTAGTGGTTATCGTTCTTGGTTTGGGGTAGTGGTTCTCGTTCTTTGGGATAGTGGTTCTCGTTCTTTGGGGTAGTGGATCTCGTTCTTTGTTTGGGGTAGTGGTTCTCTTTCCTCCTAATATGATATCCTTTCGTCTTTGGGGTTAAACTCATCAAGGGCGAAACTTCTCGTTTGGTGCCGCTTTTCTTTAATTTTGATTAAGTTTTCTTACTATCCAAGCAGCACGTATCTTCTCTTTAACCTCTGTCCCCTACCACCAGCCGCACCGCCCGGATGCTGGAGGTGAGGAGGGAGGATGGCTGGAGGAGGACGAAGAACAAGGCAGCCGAGGAAGCGAACCTCCAGAAGGAGGCGGCCCCCTTGTCAGCCGATCCAACACCCAACCTGCAACCAACCCCACACCTACACCTACCACCACCGGACGAATACGACTCATGGTTTCACTATTGATGAAGATTAGGTAATAAAGTATTTCACAAGCTTGTAATGTAATTATTCTTTAGGAAGTGATTTGTGTTACTATGGATACTTTAATGATGGTTTTAATTTTATTAGGGTTATATTATTCAACATTCTAGGTTAACTTTTTAGCATCATCCAGTGTAATGTTTTACAATTAAATTGATAATGGGACGAATGCTCTTAAAAATCGAACTATGAGTGAGTGAATTTAAAAATCTGTTTTGTGATTTATAATAAATATAAAATATAACAAATAATATTTTTTGCAATACTTATAAAAATGCTTATATTTAACTAGTCCATTTTCAAATAATAAAAGCTATTTTTTTTAGTAAGTTGGGTGTGTGTTTTTCGTTTGTCTATATAACAGCACCGCTTACCTGATTTCGCTGCTGTGTCAATGTGAAGCCATAAGCTTATCACCAACATCCACAGAAACATAGCTACGTCGTCATTGTCAAGCTGGACTGCTCAAGCTATACTTGACTGTCTGGAAAAAATATCATGATTGTTAACATTCCATTAAAACGGAATTCCTCATAAATATTTTGCATAAATACTTAGAATTATTAACCCACTGTTTGAGAAGAATAATTGTATGAAATCACAGATTTTCCCCGGATGCAGTTTTGTCTATTAGTGATTATTTGTGATTTTGTATTGAGATTCTAAAGGAAAAGCTATTATCGTAAACAATATTCTATTTATGGCATACAAATAATCCATCTTTGTTCTGTGCCAAAAGCAGTACATAGTAGATCAGTGATAAACGTAGATTGCCCAATAGGGTTATGGACTCGGTTAATCAAAGCAGCTAGATAATTAGGTAGAGAACCCCATCTAAACAACTGCCTCCTAGTTCTCTGGGGCAATTATGTGCTTAAATACAACATAACTATAGTAAACGGTCCAATTATTTTTTCCACAAACTGATAAATTTTAGGTTGTTTATATGTCAGGATCTTACAGGCATAAGTTAGGAGGCAATACTTATCCTCTTACATCTACCCTAGCGTAAAACGAAAATATTTTCCTTACAATAAAATCTGTATATCGTCACCTAAAGGTAATAAAACAATGATGTACAGTGTGACCTTTCCAGCAGCATGGGTTCAATGTTGAAAATCTAAACTAAAGGTAAAACAGGCGTCTAATCTTTATTTTTTGTCACAAATAAAAAGTAAAAAAAAAAAACACATGACAGTAAATTAGAACAAATTGGCTGTTATAAAATATGAAAAATACATAATAATAGTAAAAATATGAATAAATGTTAATATAGTTCATGCATTGACACCAGTTAAAGAATATGGAGATCGTTTGTTTTGTTTTAAACACAGAACATTCTTCGTACAAATAACAATCCGTCAAGGACATTCAGTGAATATAACTCGTTGTTTTTCCATGTCACATTAACACTTTATTCTAGATGTGATGCTTTCATAATATCGTCTCAATATATGCTGTGACATGCTTGTCTGGGTAACCGGGTGGTTAGGGTGTTTGCATTGAACTTAAAGGTTACAGGTACAATTAAAAGCAAGGTCAGTTACGAAACCCAGGGTCATTTGTCAGTGAACTATCAACTATAGGTCGGCCGTTTAGAAAACGACCTCCTCCAGCATTGGTTTAGCATTAGCGCGCAGGTCGTTTTCTAAGCGGCCGAACTATAGTATTAAATAGTGGTAAAATATCACCACGTACTACCTTTGACTATTAATACAACAACTGTATTCTGTATCCAATAGTCAATGGTACTACGTACGTCCGTAGTTGATAAAGTATGTGTAGTATACTCTTCAAGCGGTTCATAGGCCACAAATGGTTTCATATAAGAAAAAGAACTAGTTACCGACCACTCAATTTCCCCTATTTAACGCAGTAAGTAGGCCTATTGCGAACGATTGTAAATAGTGTAATATTTAGGTAAAATAGTATGTAAATGAAAGGATCTTTCTTGGTGATGCCTCAAAATTTTTGAAACGTACATATGGTTCAATAGACTACATCCCTCTAGGATATTATCAACCATAAGGTAAACTTATGTTGATGATTGTTTTAAAACCAGGAATACTACACAAAAACATGTCAAACTTTCGTTACTAACGTCGCAGGATAAAAATTAAATGAAATATTAAAGACTTTGGTTATCATCATTGGTATTTGGATATTGGAGTAGATAACTCATTTATATGCACCATTAGTCGGCCACCTATTGGAAAAAAAGGATGTGGGATAGTTTGACATTTATGAGGAGCCACATATGAGGTTGTACCACTCACATAAAGTGCTAAACTATAAAATTAATTTTCTACCTTAGTTTTTACTGATATACCGACAATACTTTGCTAAGACAAGACTTGAGATAGTTAAATTGACATGACTTTGCTAAACAGTTGTCGTATTTGAAATAAATTAGAAACTTACTCTGTCGGTGGCTTAATACTTGAAACTCAACTGATGATAATTTTAACTTGGAGATGGAATGTCTACTGCTATCAGTAGTCAAGGATATCATATAGTATTTCGCAGCAACAGGTTAACTTTGAATGCAAACTTTCCTTTGTATGACTCTTGTTAGGATTCCAAGCATTCATAGTATCCAATAGCACACATTCTTTACACATGCTTTTTTAACTTGGTGTAACGAGATAGAAAATCCAAAGTTTCTACAGACTGGTGTACAGACATAGGCTTTCCTCCCAATGGTATAATGGATTTAGATGCTAAATTGCATTATAACTAATTTAATTTGGAATTATTTTCGTCAAAGCACCTTTAAATGGAAGTTAATCTTTACGTGGGGTTGAAACAGAAAAAGTAAAATTACTTTGAGGTATACACGGAATTTTTGCTTGGCGTATGTGTAGTGTAATACCGTACTTTTTTGTAGTACGAATTTCCTTACTCACTTATGTTTAATTGATAATAATTGCATCTATGAATGGTTTTATGTGGTATCAGTTTAGATTATTCTTTGGCTCACTAAACTACCGAAGAGTAAAATAAATATTCCCTCGCCTCAGCGAAACTGTAGACAAAGCGAATTGCCATTTACCTAGCTAGATTTCCACTAAATTATCTTCTTAATTATCAGATTTATTTCGTATATAAATAACGTTATATTTAACGAGTACTTAGGTTTGCTACTACAGGAGGTAATGAGAGGTATTTGTGTTGAACTATTTACAGTATATTATCAAATAAACAAAATTACCATATTTGATTAAAATACAATATATTCATATACAGGCAAACTACAACAGTTTATTTACCTTACTAATATTATAAATGTAAGCTTTTGTGTGTTTGTTTGATTATTTGTTTGGTTATTGGATGGATTGTGCTGAAATTTGGCATGCTGGTAGCTTACATTCCCGACTAACATTAAGGCCTAATCTTATCTAAAAAATAATTCTAAATTCTAAATGCAGCTAATTTTATTCTTTGCATATATATTGCCATGAATTGTAAAGTGTTACCCAATATTTTTGTATTTTCAACTATTTTTAATTCAAAAGACAATGCTATCTTATAGTACTTGACCATTACTAACGCTGGGTTACAAAGGAATAACCTGATACACTTGTATCAAGTTATTCATTGGTCATACCTTAGTCATAAAAAGTAAATACACCAACTTGTATTTACTTTTTATTGTTTAGTTGATTAAACTATATTATTAATACGCTACATGAATCTTTGTAAACAATTATTCTTTTTTGTTTTAAGATTTAACCCCACATATTACATGCCTAAGTGTGTAGATTTGCAAACTGGCCTCATATTTTTTTAAATAAGCCCCTTGCGCTCTGCCTCATAGGCTTTTAAAGTTCCCATTTATTCTTATAAAGAACATATTTGTTTACATTATGATCAGCTGGATAAGTTAATTGCTGTTAAATTTTAGTTGCAGTGGAAACTGTATGCTACAAACATTTACTGACTTGGTTGAAATGGTTTTTTACTATTTGAATTTGGGTTGGCATAAATATTACAATGGGAAAAACGAGAAAGCCCGGACAATTTGATCTACTAAAAAGAAAACTGAATTAACACTGTTCTATATTTCTTGAGCAATCATTAAAAGAGCCTATTTGCGAACTATGGAAACATAAGAAAGTCGTAGAACACCACTAAAGAGAAGAAATATAAATAGTGTTTTTTGTTTATATTTATAATACGATATAGGCAACCTAATGCGGCTATGAGTGGGCAAAATTTTTAGAAAGCAGAAAAACCAAAGACCAGCTTTTTAAAAATAATAATATATTTCCAAGAAATGTTAATTATATCGAATTGTTATGTACATCGTGAGTATTTCCATAACCTTTTAGTCGACTCTTAAAAAGTCATCTGAAATTATGATTGTTATTTGTTTTAAAATAACGCATGTAATACTTCGCAATTGCTCGAATTCAAGCAAAAGGTACACTAGTGTGTAATTAATTTAAGAACAACTATAAATATTTTATTTATTAAATTCATTTCGTGTTTCAACACATTCTTCGAAATTTACTGCAGGATTTTGCGTATCTAATGTAAGTGGTTTGCATATACCTCAAACTATCAACACTTACTTCTATTGACGTTTAGGCGTCAATTCCTACAATTTAAATTTTTTCTTACTTATTATAGGAAATAAAATCAATACAAATTAATGGGAAAGTTTAGTTGTGCCCAAAAACATCATTTAATTTATTATTTTCTCCAATCAGTTGAAATTTAAGAACGAACCCTGGATCTGGCTGTAATATATAAAGTCACGAAACTCTCAATTTAATTACGTAATATGTAGCACAGTAGGCTTATATGAACTTAAAATGTGCTTATTGTAGTTTAAAGTGGATAGATATTTGTTACATGATTGGTACCTGTGAACAACTGTAAAAAACTTAAAATATAATGAAGCACAAGTTTGTGAAACTCGATGAAATTTATTGGTGTATACACTTTTCGCAATGTTAATATAGATTAGATCCCTTATACCTTATCACTATATACTTAATTACTTTAAACTATAAGCATTAGTATTTGGCTTGAGAGTTTTTGAAGTATATGCATCAAAAAGACTGTATGAAAAAAAAAACTAATCCTTATCGCATATACAAGTCAGTAAAGTCCATATTCTTGTATATAAAGGAGACGCATTAACGGAATGCCTCGAGGACATACCATTATGGGTGAACTTTTCAACTTCCTTCAAAGAGTTAGAAAACTGTTCCTTGCCTTTGAAACTCCATGGAGGTCTTTTACTAGGCGCTAAGAAGCTATTCAAGTTTGAATTGACGGGTAATGCGTGCATTTAACTATCCAGGATTCATAATTTACGATGGAGAAAAAATCCAATTTTACTATTATAAGTATCGTATTTAATTTTGGAGGATTCATGCGACGTCATAAATAGATTTTAAAATTAGTTATGAATCAAAATTGAAGCAGTTTTTACAAAACTGTGCGTAGCCAATAAGATTTTGATTGTTATCAAAA